TAGTTTGTCTAGCACGCATGAGGCCTAGGTTCAAACCCCCAGCATCAAAAAGAACAAAAAGTTCTAAGCGTTAGTTTCAGTCATGCGTGGAGGTATGTAATCCTCAGCCCAGGGAGGTTGAGGCCGGAGGACTGCCATGAGTCCGAAGCCTGAAATGCACCCTGAGCTCAAGGCTAGCCTGCACTGCATTTCAGGACCTAGTCTAAAAACAGAACAAAACAGAACGAAGGGCTGGACATGGTGGGCGTGGTGGTGCACATTTGTTACCTCAGGAGGCTGAGGCCACAGGGTCAGTGCAAGCCCGAGAAAAGTGAGCTCAAGACCAGCCTGAACTGCATAGCCAGATCCTGTCTCAGAGAGACAAAGGACCCACCAAAAAAGGATCTATGTCAACTTCTGCAGCCCGGTAGCTGCAGGCTGGACGCCCATCCCCTGGGGCGCCGCCTCCTGAGCTGAGTCCTTCAGTCCTTCCCCACAGTCCTCGCTGTCAGAAAGGTGGAGAGGTGGTGGCCCGGACGGAGGCTCAGAGCTACCCGGTGGAGTGGGCCCGGGACCTCAGGTAGGAGTGCGGTTTGCCCTGTCCTGTGTTTTCAGGTTATTTGCAGTGCCAGGCTCCTGGGATGGAAAACTGATGGCTTTTCCTCAAGAGGTCAGTTTCGAGCTGGCCGGGTCCCTGTGGTCTCTGGGATCTTGAGTAATCGTGGTTTTGGTGCTGTCATTACAGGGCCACAAATTCTCCTCGCTCGCCAGCTCTCCACCAGCTTTTCTGAGAGGTAGAGAGAGACATCGCATTCCAATGCCATCCCGTCTCTATTCAAAGTCCCGATTTCCTCTCTTTCCTTCTGTTACTGAAGATTGAGCAGTACAGTTCTTTATTAAATTTGAGACATGGTTGCCTCCTGTGGGAGGCTGAGGCAAGGGGACCATTTGGAGTTCAAGGCCATCCTGGGCTACATAGTGAGCTCCTGTCCCAGAGAAACAAAAGAAACGGTTTTCCTGAGACAGGGACTTGCTCACTTGACCAGGATATCTTTAAACTTTCCATGATCCTCACGACTCAGCCTCCCAAGTGGCTGAGATTACAGGCATGTGCCGCTACACTGGCTTTACCCATTGTCTTTTTTTCTTTTGTACCAAGAATTGAACTCAGGGCCTTGCACTTGCCAGGCAGGCACTAATGCACATTGTCTTTCCTTCTGCCTTTTTTGTTTGTTTCTTTCTTTCTTCCTTTCTGAACCCACGTATGTAGCCCAGGCTGGTCTGGAACTCACAATTCTCCACCTCAGTCTCCCAGATGCTGGGATTACGGGCAAGGGCCACAAACCAGACTCCTTTCCTTTCTTTTCTCCTTTCTTGTACTGGGGATTGAACTAGGGCTTTCCCTCAGCCACAGTCCCACACCTTTCAACAGTTGTTTACTTCTGAGATAGGGTCTAAGTCAACCCAGTCAGGCCTCCAACTTCGGACCTCTTTGCCTCAGCTTCCCAGGGAGCTGGGATTACAGGGTTGGTGACATCACCCCCGACTAAATTTGATCTCTTTAGTTTCCTAGCTATGCTCTGGTTAACTGCCATGTCACAATTAAACTTTCATTTATTTATTTAAACATATTATTTCTACTAGAGCTCTCACAGAATTCTACACTCCTTTTTTATTTATTGTTCTGTGGCAGGGTCAGGCTTTGAAATCGCGTTGTAGTGCGGGCTGGCCTGGAACTGGCGGTCATCCTCCTGCCTCAGCCTCCCAAGTGCTGAGGTCACAAGCAAGTGCCCCCAGGCCTGGCCTCCGTTCACTTTCTCAAAGCGTAGCTGGAGAGAGTGACGCTGGCGGCCGTGATCCTATCAGCACGCACACCCTGTCCGGTCAGAGGGTCGCGCAGGCTCCGAGAGACCGAGAGACCGCGGGGGGTGGTTAGGGAAGCCGGAAGCGAGCTGTGGTCACCTGATCGCCCCTTCGGAGCGCTGAGCTGGTGGCCGACCACGCTGCCGTCGCCTTGCGGTTGGGCTGCGGTGCCGACCGTGCGTCCCTCGTGTTTTCGGTGAGTGTGCAGGTACCGGAGGAACTGTCGCTCTCGGGATCATGTACTTGTTCCAGTTTGGAAGCTTTCGTGGGAGGAAACATTCTAGGTGACAGGCCAAGCCAGGACTTCGGTATTTGCGGGGGCATGTAGGACGAAGATGTAGGAGCACAGACACTGTGAATCAGAGTTTTTGTTCTTTGAGACAGGGTCTTGCTTTGTAGTACAGGTTGGCCTTGAACGCAGTACATAGCCCAGGCTGGCCTGGAGCTCTCTGCAGTCCTCCTGCCTCAGCCTACCCGTACTGGGATTACAGTTGTGCACTGTCATGCTCGGCCATTGCTTTTTGGCGGTGCGTGGGATCCAGCTCAGCTGTGGCCCCCTTCCTGGGGCAGGTGACCCCTTTCCCAGCTGCCTGAGGACAGCCCCAGGGTGGGATGGGAGTTGGGCCCCCCTCCAGCCTCCCTCAGCCGAGCAGCGCCTCCTCCGGTCGCAAAACACAGGCCAGCTTCACAGGCCTCCTAAGGTGGCAGGCCACTCAGCAAAACCCGTGGGCCTTTGTTCTCACCAGAACTCGGTCTTTTCACTGGCAGGACAGGATGGCCTTGCACCGCTCTTTCAGGAAGTTGAAGAACCTTTCTGTTGTTTTTCGACAAGGTCTCACAGTATAGTTTATTTATTTTTAATGTATTTGGTACAGGGTCTCACTAGGCAGCTCCGACTCGTAATGATCCTCCTATTTTCAGCCTCTCCAAGGCTGGGATTACAGGCTTGCAACATCACGTCCCTCCGGACTCTGTTGCCAGCTCAGCGCACCCTGGGGGCAGGGCCTATGAGGCCTATGGTGCCGGGGCTCCAACCTGATCCCTAAGCTTGCCTAGGCAGGCGCTTAGTTTGCTGAACTCTCGCCTGCCCTCACCATAGTTTAGATGGGCCTTCAATTCCGGCCTCGAATTCATAGCAGTCCTCGTTCCTCGGCCTCCTGCGAGCTGGAGTCTCGGTGGGCGTCATCACGTGCCCTTTGGAGAACATTAGAGTTGGCAGCTGTGTGATTGATCTGTAGTTTTTCGCATTTTGGAAGGGGCTCAAGGAACTGGGTATCAGAATTGTAAGAGAACTCTTCATTTGTCATGTGCGCTAATTTCTGAGAACACATTATCTCGGTGCTCGGATTCACAGGATGCAAAACTGCAAAGGAAGTGGGACTTGAACTCAGGACCTTGCACTTGCCATGCAGGTGCCAGTAACACTAAGCTATATCCCCAGCTCCAAGCCCCATTTCTGAAAGGTTCATTTCCAATAAAATTTTACTGTAGGTTCATTATGAATCTGCAAGTATTCAAAATACATCAATTTTGATCAGCTAAAAAGTGACTTTTTTAGTGAGACTTCTAAAGAGATTTATCTTGAGAAATACACAAACCACCCCCCCCCTTTTTTTTTTGGTCTTTTTGAGACAGGGTCTTCCTGTACAGTGCAGGCTGGCCTTGAGCTCACTTTGTAGTCCAGGCTGATCTCAAACACACAACGATCCTGCCTCAGCCTCCCCAGCGCTGGGATTATAGGCATGCACTGAAACGCCTCGCCAGAATTATTTGCAGCACGTGGGATGGAACCCGAGGGCACTGGACCCACTGAGCTGGGAATGAACCAGAGTTTGTTTTTTTTTTCCTTTGGTGGAACCGGGGATTGAACTCAAGGCCTTCTACTGAGCCCCAGAGCTTGCTTTTTTTAAATCTCGAGACAGGGTCTCTCAATTGCCAGGCTGGCCTGGAATCTGCCTTCTTCCTGCGTCAACCTGCAGGGTTCTACAGAAATGGGAGAGTGATCAACCGAAAAAAGTTCAAGTAATTAGAAAAAAATTCTGTCAGGGAGAGAGATTGTAAATTTATATTGCAAATGTAAATTCCAAAAGATTAAAGAAGTCGTGGAAATTATCAAGTATAAAAAGGGGAAAACGAGGTGTGGAGTAATTCGGGCACTTGGGAGGCTGAGGCAAGAAGCTGATCTTGGACAGTTTGAGGCCAGCCTGGGCTACACAGTGAAACCCTGTCTCACCACCACCATGGCTGTTGCCGGGCGACCGACAAAATAGCTGTGACAAGTTAGCAGAACAGAAGTATAACTTTAAACTCTACAAAGATGTATAGTATGCAGCCTTACAGAATTTTTATGGTGCTCATGAGCTTAGAAGTTTTCAGATTTGAACCAGAGACAACTGCTCACCTATCCTTGGGATAATAAAACAGGATGGATTAAAACCTGCGGGACCGCATTGCATGCACAGATTTGATACCGTGCATGGTGATTTGTTTTTGGTACTGGGATTGAAATCGGGTCTTACACCGAGCACAGGCCCCACCTCCTTTAAGAATTTTACAGACTTATTTGTGTATAGACAGGGTCCCGCTAAGTTTAAGTTCTCCAGGCAGGGCTCGGGGTTGCGATCGTCCCGCCTCAGCCTCCCAGAGTGCGAGAATCCCAGGAACGCTCACGCCACCAGGCATATTTTCCACGACCTCGGCTCGTGCGTCGTGGACTAAGGTCTCACCAGGCCAAGAACTTGCCCGCTGCCTGGCTCAGCGCCTGCACATCTGCGCGCTCCCCAGCCACCCTGGGAACGGGGCTGGCCCCCCGGAGCGGGAGTCAGAAAGCCCCCACGGCTTTCCGCAGCTCGGCGAAGGCGTGGGAAGCCCCTAGGAAACTCCGCGCTCGCGGCGGGGCGGGGTGGGGGCGGGGCGCGCGGCCTCCGCGGGAGGGAGGGGGCGCCGTCTCGCGTCGCTGCGCAGGCGCGCAGCTGTCTCGTCGGGAGTGCGCGGCCGGCCGCCTGTCCCCGCGCGGGCTCCGTAGCGCGTGTGCAGGCTGACGCAGCCCGCGGGCCCTCCTCCTGCTTTGCGGCGGCGGCCGAGTTTGGGGCGCTTGGGAGGGGGCGAGGGAGCCCGACTCGAGAGAGGGAGGCGGCGGCGGCGGCGGCGGGGAGCAGGAGGAGGAGCAGGCGCCGCCATGGCCGCCGCTATCACCGACATGGCCGACCTGGAGGAGCTCGCCCGCCTGAGCCCTCTGCCCCCTGGCAGCCCGGGCCCGGCGGCGCGGAGCCGGGCTGAGCCCCCCGAGGAGGAGGAGGAAGAGGAGGAGGAGGAAGAGGAGGCGGAGGCCGCGACGGTGGCGGCGCTGCTCCTGAACGGCGGGGGCGGCGGCGGCGGCGGCGGCGGCGCGGGGGGCGGCGAGGCGGAGACGATGTCGGAGCCGAGCCCCGAGAGCGCCAGCCAGGCCGGGGAGGACGAGGACGAGGAGGAGGACGACGAGGAGGAGGAAGAGGAGGAGGAGGACGAGAGCAGCAGCAGCGGCGCGGGCGAGGAGAGCAGCGCCGAGAGCCTGGTGGGCAGCAGCGGCGGGAGCAGCAGCGACGAGACGCGCTCGCTCAGCCCCGGCGCCGCCAGCAGCAGCAGCGGGGATGGCGACGGCAAGGAGGGCCTGGAGGAGCCCAAGGGACCGCGGGGCGGCCCGGGCGGCCTGGGGGGCGGCAGCAGCAGCAGCAGCGTCGTCTCGAGCGGCGGCGACGAGGGCTACGGCACCGGGGGAGGCGGAAGCAGCGCGACCTCCGGCGGCCGGCGCGGCAGCCTGGAGATGTCGTCGGACGGGGAGCCCCTGAGCCGCATGGACTCGGAGGACAGGTCAGTGCTGCGCCGCCGCCCCTCCCGTGCCTCCTTCCGGGGGCTCTTCCGTGACCCCCTCTGCGCCCCGAGTGCCGACCCCTCCCCCAGGCTCCGCTGGCGGGTCCCGCGCGGCCGCCGCGCCCCTCGCCTCGCCGCGGCTAGCGGCTTCCAACTCCAGCCTTCTCCCCCAACTCTCCTCTCCCCGCCCCCTTTCCGCGCCCCGCGGCCCTGCGCTCCTTGGCGACCTGAGGGCGGTCGGCTCCGGCTCGGGGACAGTCCCCACGCAGACGCAGAGCCCCTCGCGGAGCCGGAGAGGGCCTCGGGGTACACCTCGGTGCACAAGGTTAGCCTCCTGCGAGCGTGCTCGCGACACTTGTCAGAACTGTAATTGACAAGTGTTTCCAATATGGCTGGTCTCGCCCGGATTGAGCACAACTTCCTTGTGTAGGGAGGAGACCCCAAACTGGACCACTTTTCTCGACTTGGGAAAAAAAAAAAGACTATTGTTTTGTAGTATACCATTGCTTTCTTAAAAACCCTCATTTGTAGTCGGTGATGCAGTCTTCATCGTGATTTTTAATCTTTCACTACTTATTTTGTGGTCAGATCTGGGGCAAAGTTTAAAACACGTTAAAAAATCGTGGAAAAGAATAGCTGCAGGGTGTATTAACTGCAGAACGAGAGAGTTGGAACCTTTAAGAAAATGCATTCGAGAAGGTAAAGCATTAGGTGGCTTGAATTTTTCTGTTACACAGTTGTGTTTCAACGCGAGGGTCATGGTTTCAGTTAATGCTTTTCGAGTCGTCAGGGAGGCCTCGGAAGGAATTGCTGTTTTTCTAAAGCTTGTTATAGTAACGTGGAGACTGAAGAAAATGCACCCCGTGTTTTTGAGGACACTTAAGCAGTTGTAATAGTTGTAATAGATTTCAGTTTTTAATATCGTTACTTTCTATCACTTCGGAAAACTTTCGTAGTTTTAGTTGGTTTCTAATATAGATTTTAGTTAGAATCACACCATGCATATTTTAAAAGTATATTAGCTTTTACTTTGACCATCTGATATTTTGGTGAGTAGTAGACTTTTTAAGTCTATAATTTTGATTTAAGGTCTTGATTTCAGTTTTGTTTTGATTTATGAGTTTTAGGAATTCTGATTGTTACATGATATGAATGAACATTTTATACTTAATGCTACAAGGAGTACAAAGGCCTATTTTGAAAGTCTAATAAATTGTTTTTGACATTTACTTTTACATCTAGTTAACGTATTTCACGTTATCTTGAATGGGTGTAAAATAAACCGTTCAAACATTAAAACAGTTGCAAAACTCTATAGGTATGGGTAGAAAGAATGTTTTTTCGAAGATTTAAAGTTGACGTGTGAAGTGCACAGTAAAGCATGTGCTATATATCGCTTTACTCTGCTTACATTGGTTACACTATATTTGAAAGTTGACTTTAGTTCATAGTCCTTCTCTACAGGTTTTTTTGTTTAGTGTACATACATACACTTGCTTGGCACTGCACAGTTCCAGTGTCTCCATCTCATTCTCATAGTTATGCTTCGAGAGGTGTTACTTTGACTTCCATTTATTTAGCAAATGAAAAAAAAGCAAGTTGAGCAGCTTATTCAAAACAGCCTGGAGCCAGGTACAATGCAAAGGCCCCTATTTGGGAGGCTGAGATAGGAGGATCACAAGTTGGGGCCTAGCAGTTTAGGGGTCTCTCTCCCTGTCTCTCTCTGTCTCTGGTCTCTCTCTCTGTCTCTGTCTCACACACATGCCCACACACAGGGTTATGCATGAGGTTCAGTGGTGGTGAACTGGCATATATGGAGAGGGCTTGAGTTCAATCTCCAGTTCCATAAAAAAAAAAAAAAAACCTGGTAAGTATGATATAGAAATGGTAGAACTGGATCTAAATGAAGGTTCTCAAGTCCTGTATTACCATTTCTCCAAAGTTAGAATAATTCACTTTAAATAGCAAGTGAAATATGTTAAGAGTTCTTTAAACTACACTGGTCAAGTAATAGTTCAGCAAGTGGAGTTTTTGGTTTCATTTGACATATAGTACTCATTTGAACATCTCAGAATAAAGAATTAGAGATTGGTGTTACAAGTCCTAATAAGGCTTAAACTTAATACCTGAGTATACTTACTTTTCTGTACTTAAAACATTAGAAACTATAAAGTATTTCAGGATAATGGAGTTGTCACTTGTACAGGAGAAGAAGTGAATTACTGGTTTGTGATCTTGATAATCTAAACTGCCCTTGTTGGCATTGAGGTTTTTGTTGTCATTGTTTTTGAGAGTTACTTTTTATGGTTATTGGGGCTTTCTGAACTTGGGGCATCTGTACACTCAGAGTCTCAAGTTACCAAACTGTCCTTCCAGTGGCAATTCTGTCAACCATCCAAGTACTCTACAGCAATTATAGGCCTGCATGTGGCCTAAGTCTATTTTGTACAAGGAAAGCATCCTTTTTTTTTTTTTTTTAATGAATTTAGGACAGGGTGTATAGGGTCTCACTATGTAGATTGGAGTAGATCTGACTCAGTGTTTTCAGCCTCTCAAGCGCTGGAATTACAGGTGTGCCGCCACACTGAGTCTCAATCACCACCTCAGCTGGCCCTGGGGTCGAGGCTGGCACTGCACATGCCCCAGCTGTGCTTTGCTTAAACAGGTGCTTCAGTCTGCTGAGGTATCTGGCTGGCCCTAGGATCTGTTATTCTTAAAACTATTTTTTAGATTACAGCAGATTGGAGTGAAGTCTTGAGTTCATGGTAGAAAGTCATTTTTGCTGTTGTTTTGAGACAAGGTCTCACTATGTAGTTCAGGCTGGCCTTGAACTCACTATGTCTCCCAGGCTGGCCTTGAGCTCCCAGCAATCCTGCCTCTGCCTCCCAGATGCAGGGACTTCAGGTGTACTCCCATCTGGCTAGAAAGTCTTTATTTTTGTAATTCATAGAAGAGTATAATGAAAGTGCTTTTAAAAATGTGTCATTTTATGGTTGCAGTTCTATTGTCATTACACCTTTATTTAGAAAGTCTGTTTTTTTCATTTAAATTCCATTGTACTTTTGAATTTATCTGCTATGCACTAGAATTTTCAAGTTTCTTACATGTTTTTTTTTTTTTTTTTTTTTTTTAAAGAAAATAATACAGATTTTACTTTATTTTTGAGACAAGGTCACACTGGTGATTCAGGCTGGCTTTGAAGTCACTATGTATATGTAGCTCAGCTCATGCTGGCCTTGAACTTGTAACAGTCCTGCTTCAGCTTCCCATTGTGCCATAAGATGGACTATTGGGGGGTATATTTACCTGTGAGATACCACTGAAAGCTAGCTTGTGTTTTGCTTTGTTTTCGTTGTCTTTTTTTTTTTTTTTTTTTTTGCGGATCCGGGGATTGAACTCAGGCCCTTGCGCTTGCCAAGGAAGTGCTTACTCCACTGAGCCATGTCCCCGGCACTTGTGTTTTACTTTGTACTTAAACTTAAGTACTTTTAGTAAGATTAACATGTTTTACATTAATTTGAAGTGAACTTTTGAAAACTATTTTTTATACATTTCATTTTAATTCAGTTTTCTAATATATCATAAAAAAGTATAAGAAAGAATAGTTTAAGAACTGTTGAATAAATGTTGTCTAAGTATAATTAAATGCCACCCCTGTACTGAAATATATATTGATACTGGAAAATTTCAAATAGTAGCCCGAAGTGGTGGCATACACCTTAGTCTCAGCACTCAGGAGGAGGGTGGCCACAAGTTTAAGGCCAGCCTGAGCTGCATAATGCCACCCTTTCTCAAGAACCAAAAATACAAAAAATTGATTATTTTAGTTTCCCAAGTATTACAAGCTATTAATCGGATTGCAGAGTAAAGTACTACCTTTAATTTATGGGTATAGGTATGTTCATGATGACCTGTATTTTAGGGTTTTTATTTTTTGTTCTTTATGTTTTTATTTTTATATAAGGATTTCTTTTCTTCTCCATTTAGAATGTAGGTCAAAATTTACTTTGGAAAAGATAGAATCACTTTCAGCCACTTTTACCAGCCTTTTTTTTTTTTTTTTTTTTTTTTTTTGCAGTACCAGGGATCAGACTCAGGACCTTGTGCTTACTTTACTAGGCAGGCGTTTGTGCCACTAAGCTATATTATCCTGGCCCCTTACCAGCCTTTCTGAGTGTACCCAGTGGTCAAGTGAAAAGTGCCCGTATAAGCTTGGCACTTTTGATAGGTTGGGTAGAGAATGTGGTCGGCAGGGGCCATGGCTTTTACCGTTTTACGGGTCAGAGGTTGAAATTCCAGTTCGGTTGCAGGTTTTGAGGTATAGTTTGCTTTAATGTTAGGTTTTGCTTTCGTGTTTTTTTGAGGCAGGATCTTACTGGATACTTCAGGCTGACCTTGTCCCAGGCTGGCCTTGAACTGAGGGGTTTCTGCCTCAGCCTTCAAAGTGCTGCTTTGGAGATTGCCTGCCAGTTGCCCAGGTGCTTGTTAGGAAAACAGGCTTACAGCTCACTGTCCCAGGAGTGTCTGAAGGTCTTTTTCTGCTATGGTACACAGGCCAAACTTTTAAACCACATGACATGTTGAGGTTGTCATTAAAATTTGAGGATTGTATGATGGAGGCAACTCAGTGCTTTGGTGTATACTCCTGTTTTGAGCTAGAGCTCTCTTAGATACTTCTTTCATTTCTAAAGCAGTTGCCTATAGTCTGTTCAGAACTGTTTCTTGCTTCTCTTTTGACTTTCATTGTATTTAGGGAAAAGAGCTTCCTGTAGATCTGAGTATTCATTGATAACATACTGTAACTCAAGTTTGGCTTTGTGCTAAAAATGAAACAAGGGCAATTAAAAAAACCTACATATTTCAAGATTGTACTTAATATGGAGGTCCAAGGAGCCATTTTACTTCTAAGAAGCATTGAGACCATGTTGTTGGATTAGCTAGGGAATCCTGCATGTGAGCGAGATTGTAGCAGACATAGATATTACTAGTGCAGGACTTTC